AACTAACTAGATAAGATGAAAATCTGCTCCAATATTTGTTTCTGAGGTAAAGGCTCCACATACCTGTTTAATTAAGAAAACCATCCTTGTAACACAGGATGATTTCTTTATTTTTAAGTAGGGCCTACAACACTTGGTCACCAATTAGGTGTTGAATGGCAGAGCTCCAGCCCTAGTATGCCATGAATTCACAGGGAACAGGTTCCAACTATTCAGGCTCTTCCCATTGGTTCTCACAAAGTGCGCTTCTCTGGCCGGGGCAGGCTGGGGCTTCAGTTGAAGCCAGGTACCTTTCTGGCTTCCTTCTTTTCCTGATCGTTTTCCTTGACATGTTTCAGGAAGCTAACTCGACTGAGTGCTTACTATGCTCAATACTCACATTAATCGTCTTGCCAAGTATCCTGCCCTTAACGTGCTTGTTTACAACAATGCCAACAGCATGCTGGGTAACCCTGTAGACTCTTCCTGTTTTGCCATGGTAACACATGGCACTCCTTTTCGCACAGTATCCATTCCCTTGATGTTTACAGTATCACCCTTTTTGTAGATCTACATGTGTGTGGCTAAAGGAATAACCTTGTGTTTTCTAAAAGGCCTGGAGAACATATACCGGGTTCCCCTCCTCTTTCCCTTCGTGTTTGTCATTTTGGCAAATTCCTGGAGATGGCAGTTTCGGCGGAAAGGCAAGACTCACAAATTAAGAATGTAAAATCAGCTGGGCAGTGAAACATGCTTATTGTCCCAGTACTGTGGGAGGGTGAGGCAGAAGGGTTGAAGTTCAAGCGCAGCCTGAGCAACCTGAAAGACTATTACAAAATAAAAAAATAAAAATGGGCTAAGGATGTAGCTCAGTATGAAGACCTGGGTCCAACCCCCAGTACTAAACAGAGAAAAGGATACATAATCAATACAATTAGCTGTGTGTAAATAGATGCTTAACAAATAATAGTACTTAACTGAAACTTTTTTGTTGTTGTTTTTCTTCTGGTACCAGGAATCAAACTCATGACCTTGTACTTGCCAGGTAGGCACTTTGCCACTGAGCTAAATCCCCAGCCCCCGTAATAGTACTTAAGAAAACAATGAGAACCCAAAAGATGGTGATATGCTACTCAAAACCAATTTTTTTCAAAACATAATTTCATGTTTCAAACTAGTCCAAACTGTAAATATAAAAATATCATTTAGAACTCAATAATTAGAAGGCAAATAATCTACCTTTAAAAAGTACGCAAATGATTTGAAATATAAATAGCCAAAAAGCACATGAGCTCACCATTATTAACAAGAAAATGCAAATTATTAACAAGAAAATGCTTGCTGCCTGGCAAGTGCAACGTTCTGAGTTCGATTCCTGGTACCAAAAAAAAAAACCAAAACACCAAACACACAAAACATCAGAAGCTCGAGGAATCAAACCAAATCACTGGAGGGAAAAATAAAATGTAGCAAGAGAACAAAAGAAGGGTAAAATAACTGCAAGAAGAATAAGTTTTTAAAAAGGCAATATTAAATCCTTCTCTCTGGTTAATTATAAGTGGTGAAAACCACCAATCAAAAGACACTACAGAACAGCCTGAACGAGAGTAAAACTCTGTCTTTAAAAAAAAAAAAAGCCAAGCTTAGTGGTGCAAGCCTATTATCCCAGCATCTGGGAGGCTGAGGCAGGAGAGTACAGTGAGTCTGAGACCACCCTGGACCACATAGCAAGATCCTTTCTCAAAACAATACAACAGAAAACAAAACAACAGCAAAAGGTGTAAAAATATGCTATGTACAAAAGACTCACTTTAGACCAAGAAAAGTAAAGGCAAAAAAAAAAAATTAAAAAAAAAAAAAAAGAAAGAAAGAAAGGTAAAGGCTAGGAAAAGCTATTCTGTCCAAATAATGACTGACAGGTGCCAGGCGTGGTGGCGCATGCCTGTAATCCCAGCACTCGGGAGGCTGAGGATCGTTGTGAGTTCAATCCTGGGCTACAAAGTGAGCTCAAGGCCAGCCTGAGCTGCATATCAACACCCTGTCTCAAAAAGACCAAAAAAAAAAAAAAAAAAACAAACCAGTGACTGATAGGGCACAAGTAGCCATACTGACAATGCCTCTAAATTAAAATTGTCAGAAGAGTCAAAGTAGAACACATCATAAAAAGGTCAATTCACCAGGAAGATAGATACTAACTAGACATAAGTGCTCCTAAACAAGTAGAACACCCCAAAACCGGAAGCAAACAACAAGAGGAAAACAGGGCAGCACAACAGCAGGAAATGTCAATATCCACTATCAGGAGCAGACAGATCAATCACAGCAACTACGAAGACAGAGGTCACGCCAACACCACAGATGCCCAAACAGGCATGTACAAAACACACAACAGGAACAGCTGAAGACGCATTTTCCTAATAAGCACACCTAAAACTTAATCCAGGAGAGATTTCTTGTTAGGACATAAAACAACTCTTAACAAATACAAGAAGGTTAGAATCCCACCAACTGTGTTTTCTGACCACAAGAGAATGACATCAGGAGTTAACAGTGAAAGGAAAACTAGAAAATTCACAAATAGGTGGAAATTAAGACACTCTTGAAAAAAGGAAAAAAACAACAACAACTAAAAAGACACTCTTGAAGAACAAACAGGTCAAGGCCAAAACCACAAGGGAAATTAGAAAAAAATCTTGCAATAAATGAAAACAACCAATAAACACATGAATGCAGGAAAAGTAGTGCTAAAGGGGAAGTTTAACAGCAATAAATACATTAGAAAAGAGAAAAAAAACTCAAATCAATATCTTAAAGGGCCAGAAAAAGAAACTGAACCCAATTCTGCATAAGTAAGGAAATAATAAAAATTAAGAGCACAAACAAAAAACGAAAGGAAAAATTAACACAATTAAAAGACTGTTGAAAAGATTCATAAAACTGACAAGCCCTTACTCAGCTATAATGACTGAAAAAAAGAGACAAAACAACAAAAATCAGAATGAAAGAGGAGAAACTACTACAACTAAAGCCACAGAAAAAGGATCAATTGGGCACGGTGGTGTATGTCTGGAATTTCAGTTACACAAGAGGCTGAGGCAAGATGACGCCAAGTTTGAGGCCACCTGGACAAACCACTGAGACCCTATCTCAAAACAAAAGTCTGGGAATGTAGCTTAGCACCAGCTGGTTTGCCCAGCATACATAAGGCCCTAGGGTCAATTCCCAGTCTCTAAAGGAGAAAGGGGAAAAAAAAGAGAAACAAACAAAAAGGACCCTAAGAAGTTGTAGTGGTCAATGCAATGCCCCAAAAATGGATAACCTAGAAAAAATGAATAAATTTCTAGAATACAACCTTCCTAGACTAAATTATGAAGAAAATATGCATATACCCATAAGCAGTAAGAGGACTCAACCAGTCATTTTAAAAATTCCCAATAAAAAACACAAAGTTAAATGGCTTCCCTGTAGAATTCTACCAAACATAAAACAAAAATTAACAATCTTTTGCAAACTCTTCTAAGGACTGAATAGGAAACAGTAGCAAACTCCTTCCTGAGAGGTGAAAGCCAAGATATTACAAGAAAAATACAAACAAAAATATGTCCTCCTGATTTATAACTTCAATAAAAAACTAACAAAATGAGTTCAACAACACAGTAAAAGGTTATAGAGCCAGGCTTTGTAGTGGGTAGTGGGCACTCAGAAGGCTGAACCAGGAGAGTTGTACACTTGAGCACGTGAGGTCGGAAACAATCGGAGCAGCACGGCAAAACCTTGTCTCAAAAAAAAAAAAAATTTTTTTTTTTTCTTTTGTATTTTTGGGACAAGGTCTCACTAATGCAGTTCAGGTTGACCTTTAACTCACTATGTAGCCCAGACTGGCCTCCAATTCATGGCAATCCTCCTGCCTCAGCCTCCCTAGTGCTGGAATTACAGGCATGCACACGATGGCTAGCAAAAATTTAAAAAAATTTTTAAAATTAGAAACAATTATATACCATGGGATTTATACCTACATAGAAGGTTGCATCAATATATTAAAACTCTCTAACCCCAGGTACTCAGGAGGCTGACACAGGGGAATCACAAGTTAGAGGCCAGCCTGAGCAAGTCTGTCTAGAAAACAAAACAAAATGAACAAATGCAAAAACGCAAGTTCACAACACAAGGCAAAGTGTGTGTCTTCGAGGTTGAACACGTGCAGGGTCCGGGTTTCAATCACACGAATGTTTTCTACAAGCCACACTGGGGATACAGAGTAAGCAAGGAACGAGCACTCAAACACACAACCGTCCGGCACCTCCATCTAGTGGAAGCCAGCTGCTAACACCTAACGGGAAGGAAAGGTGAGGACACAGGGTACAGTAACCGTGCACACTGCACGCAGCGTAAGCCTCTCACCTCAGAGGAGCGCCGTCAGGGAACCGTGTCTTAGACCTGACGCCCACACACACAGACCCCCACAGAATGATCAAACTCTTTTTAAGATCACATTTTCATGCCTGTCCCGTCTATTACACGTTCTCTCCTTCCACCCTTCGCTTTTGATGTTTGTTTTCGCATTCTTCTCTCCTCTGACCTTATTGGTCTTTTCTAAGAACCATTTCACACAGCTGAGCATCTCATTTTCATGTATTTTCTTATTCATTAATTTCTGCTTTCTTTATAATATACGTGTCTTTATGATTAATGTGCTATTATTTTTCCAACTGCTTGACAAAGATGTCTGGGACATGGATTTTTCAGCCCTTCTTCTTTCCTACTATATTCATATAAATGTACCTCTAGGCAAAGCTGCTTTCTTCGTATCTTATAAAACTTAACGTTATACTGCATTATTCTTTTTTGTGTGTATGCCAGGAATTGAACTTGGGGTCTCATGCTTGACAGGCAGGTGCTGTGCCACTAAGCTACATCCCCAGCCCTATTCATTTTTATTATTATTTAATCTCAAAGACTTTCTATTTTCCTTGTAATTTCTTTTTTGATTCATGCATTCTTTAACAATATACGGTACTTCTTAATTTTCTATTACACCTGCTGCATAATTACACTAGTCAAAACAAAAACAAAAACCCGTAAGGGTTACTGGTCACTTGAATCTGACATAATCTGGCTTCTCATATCCTGCAGGCATAATATACTTGCCAGAAAACTCAATTTGGTGCAACCTTATAGATTTATTTCCTGTCTAATAATTTATGCTGTATATTCCAACTCAGTCCTGTGGAAGTGTTTAGTACAAAGTCAGTTGTTGTTTTTTTTTTTTCTTTCCAGTACTGGGGACTGACCTCACGACCTAGCGCTTGCGAGGCAGGTGCTGTACTGTAAGTCCAGAAAATCTTCCATTAATAAAATCATCTTTCACTTGGGAGGCTGAGGCACGAGGACTGCTATGAGTTTGAGTCCAGCCTGGGCTACACAGTGAGTTCAAGATCAGCCTAAACTATACAGCAAAATCCCAACTCCAAAAAAAAAATTCATCTTTCAAATCAATAATTAAAACCAGGCATGGTGGCATATGCCTATCATCCTAGCATTTGAGAGGCTGAGGCAGGAGGATCACTGCAAATTCCAGGCCAGTCTAGGTTAGATAGTAAATTTAAGGCCAATCTGAACTACATAGTGAGACCCTGTCTCAAAAAAACAAAAACCAGTTCAACCAAATGTGGTGACACATGCCCCTAATCCAAGCACTAAGAAAGCTTTGATACTTACAAGTCACTTTTCCACCCTGCCAAAACTGGATAAAAACCCAGGGCCTTCTAACTGAGCTACATCCCCTTTTGTTCTGTTTTGCTTTATTTTTTTAAGGAGCAGGTGGGGGAGGGGAGGTGTCATCATTTAATGCCCTTTGACTCCGGCACTCCCCTCTAATTTACTGCCTATCCAGAAAGCACTGTGAAATAAAGCAGCAGCAACTTACCAACTCTAGGTATCTTGGTTTGTTTTTTTTAATTTGGAGACACAGTTTTACCAAATTGCCCCAGCTGGCCTTGAACATGGTGATTCTCCTGCCTCAGCCTTGAAAAGTACTGTGATTATAAGCAATGCATGATCAGACCCAGCATTGAAAGTCACTTTTTAGGGTTAGGCATGAGGGGTGCATGCCTGTAAATCCCAGCACTCGGAAAGTGAGTGAGGCAGGAGTACTACTGCAAATTCAAGGCCACTCTAGGCTACAGAGTTCAAGGCCAACCTGGACTACATAGCGAGGCCCTGTCTCCAAAAACATATATATATATATATATATATATAATTTAAAAATAAAGCAAAAGCTAGCTATAGGATGTTAACCTCTTCTGCTACAATCTAAAGGCCTTATGGTACGCGATATATATATATATATATAATTTAAAAATAAAGCAAAAGCTAGCTATAGGATGTTAACCTCTTCTGCTACAATCTAAAGGCCTTATGGTACGCGTATGAGTTGATCAGTTCACAACCAGAGCGAACTTACCATCCTCTTGTGAGGAAGGGTATGGATAAATGTGGTGGGAAGCCTTCGACTTCTCATCAGTGAATGTCCCCTGAAAGGTAAATCAACAAAGAACATGAAAATAAAGCATAAAAACTACTAGAGATGTTAGCTACAAATTCTATAAGAATTATAAAAAACATTACTTGATTCACATTTTAAGACTATATTTATTAGTGTTAATCAAGAGAAGGGGTGACTAACATGACAAAAAATATGGTCTGCATACATACAAATTGAGTCTCCCCAAAGCAAAATGCTTGGGACCAAAGTGCTTGGTATTTCTGAGTTCTTCAGATTTTGGATGACTTGCGTAGACTCTACCCGCTGAGCATTCCTAATCCAAACATCTAAAATGTCCCATAATCTGAAACTTTCTGATAATCTAATTTGAGGTTTCGGAGTTCAGATGAAGAATGCTCTGCCTTTAATTCTTAGCTCATTCTGTTTACCTCTCATCAGTAATGTGAGTACTCTATTTCAACCAATTAATTCTTAAACTTACTCAAAATCCATAATAAACTATCATAAATAAGTGATGTGAATCCATGAAGGTTTATGGCACTGAGCAGGGAGCTCTACGACACAGGACAGGACACCCGAAACAACACATGTATAAATGCACCTACTGTAGTTTTAAGCCATGCTGGAGTAACCAAGAAACTGAAGTAAGTCATAGCTAGACCACAACTCAAATACTACGTATAGTCGACAAGATGACTTGAAAGCAATTTAGACCAAAAGGTGCTCATCCTACAGACAAAAATAAAGGCCATTAAGCAGCCAAGCTGAGGCTGGAGGATCATGACATACAAGGCCAGCCTATGCGATGCAGTGAGACCTTGCATCAAAAAAAATAGTGGAAAATCTTACAATCAGTTATAAGTAGTATCTAAATGCATTCCCAGAGTTTTTTTCTTTAGCAGAATATTTACCAACCATTATAATTATACAAACACACTCATGCTTCATCTGAGAAAAACTCAAAAATTTGGACCTATTTAGAGTTGACTACCTTGTAAGATAAGGAATTCTTAACCACTGCAATGTGCAGGTACATTTCTAAGCATCACGAGAGGTGGGAGAGGAGTGCCAATATTCCATGAATACATCAAACAGATTTAGGGTCTTGGCCTGTGGAGCCCATCAGACAGTCCTGGGTTGGAACTATAGTCATTTATTACTTGTATGACATTTTAATGTATCATCACCTTTGGTGAAATAGAATGGCAACAATAATGCCTGCATCGTAAGAATCTTCGTAGGACTGAGCTAATAGATGCAGTGAACTAAGGCTGGTGACAGGTACAATGTAAGCACTCAATCAGTGCGTGCTGTTAATGCACTTAAAATGCAAGGAAAGCCCCGATCACCGGTATTCAGGAACAGCACTACTATTAGAGCTGAGATCTCTTCCCTATGGGTCTACGGGCTAGGCACGGAACTCAGGCATGGAACTCTGACTCTTGCAAGGCACTGGGTTCAACCCCCAGCACCGCCGAAATAAAAAACAGAACAAAATGGAACAAAGAAAGATTCCATGGATCCAGCTGGACTCTTACATTCCTCTTGAGAGTATCCCTAGCACATAACCTACAAAATCATATCTCTTAGGAAACAGCACAGGTAAACATTTACCTTAATTGTACAAAAATTTATAAACTCTTTCAAGCTTGATTTTACAGCAATAAGTGATTTCAGCTTAAAGGCAAGAACCAGCAGGTTAGTTTATTCCATTTGTGCCCTCTAAGCACCACTTTTAATGAAGCTACAATACCTGAGTCACTCCAATAAACAAATACTCCAAAAGACAAAAGGTTAAGTGATCTGTTAAAAGTCATAATGCTACCAGAAAGAAATGGCCCTCACACTGCCCCATCAGACAATTTAATTATACTACCCATCTGTGCTGGTGGCAAGGATGTCATATGTAAGCCAAAAATGATACAAGGTCTGCATTTACCATACTTGAAACCTTTGCTTTCAGAACATACAAAATATTTACTGCTGGATGTGGTGGTGCATGCCTGTAACCCCAGCACTCGGGAGGCTGAGGCAGGAGGATCTCTGCAAGTTCGACACCAGTCTGGTCTACAAAGTAAGCCCAAGGCCAGCCTGAACTGCATAGCAAGACCCTGTCTCACAGGAAAAAAAAAAAAAAAAAAGATATTTACTGAGTGCTAAAACATTTCAAATGGCAATCTCTTGTGCAGCAGAAAAAAATAAAGCTATTTCATGAAGGTTCCCAACCGATCCCAGAAAAACTACATTACAGAAATGATGCTTCAAGAAATTATCTTGCCAGGGATATAGCTCAGCGGCATAAGCGCCTGCCAGGCAAGTGCAAGATCCTGAGTTTGATTACCAGAACCCCCCCCCCCCAAAAAAAAAGAAAAGAAATTATCTTCTACCTGGCGTATTCTCTGCTAGTTCACCATACTGTATTTTATTAGTTTACCCATATGTCATTAATGACAGAAATATATGCAGATACATATGAAACCTAAAGTTTCAGCCTAAAACGAAACTAGGAGGTTAAAATATCACAAAACAGCTCTAAATGAGTCAAAACATAAGCTTATGAAGAGAGCAGATTTTAATTTTTATTACATATTTGCACTACCAGAGACTGAACCCAGAGCCTTTACACCAAGTTATGGCCCTAACCCCTTTTCATTTTTTTTTGGTATAGGGAATCAAACTTAGGACCTTGTGCTTGCCAGGCAGGTGCTGCGCCACTAAGCTGCATCCCTGGCCCTCCCTTTTTCATTTTAAGAGAGTCTAAAATGACCAGGGTGGCTTCAAACTTGCAATCCTCCTACTAGGATTACAGAATTATACCATCATGCCCAGCTTTTTATTCTACTTATATGTGTGTTTGTCTAGTTTGTGTATTTTTTTGAGGCAAGGTCTTGTTACCTAGTTCAGCCTGGCCTTGAGCTTGTTATGTAGCCCAGGCTGGGCTTAAACTGATGGTGATCCTCCTGCCTCAGCCTCCCAAATGCTGGGATTACAGGCATGCATCACGACATATAGCTACATATATATTTCTTTAAAAATGACTAGAAAGAACTCTTACTTTCCAGCCCAGTGTAGTGGTGCACATCTACAGTCCCAGTTATTTGTAAAACTGACACAGAAATATTATAAATTTAAACCCAGCCTGTAGGGTTGGGGATTTAACTCAGCGGCACAGCGCCTGCCTGGCAAGTGTAAGGTCATGAGTTCGATTCCTGGTACCGGAAAAAAACAATAAATAAATAAATAAACCCAGCCTGGGGCTGGAGATTTAGCTCAGCAGCACAGCACCTGCCTAGCAAGCGCAACGTCGTAAGCTCAATTCCCGGTACCAGAAAAAAAAAAAAAAAAAAATTTAAACTCAGCCTTTGCAACATAGCCAAGATTCTATCTGAAAAACAAGAACAACCAAGTAAATGGACTGGGGAATGTAGCTCAGTAGTGGAACACTTGCCTAGCATGCTCAAGGTCCCAGGTAACACACACATACTCACACATAGATAGTAACTAAAAAATTAAAATAAAAAACATAAATAGCATACAAATGATTGGATGGGGAAGAGGGATGTCTTTATTCTAAGTATAGTTCGCCTTCTCTTAGCAATAAATGTGTCATGAACTCTCTGACTTTGTGATTTCTATGATTTAGTTCTGTGAGGGAAAATACACTAGTTTCCTTCACTCCCTCAGTATATTTTACAAGACTATGATAACTACATTCCAGTGCCTTTACTCTAAGCTAAAAATCAGGTTTCAAAACCAAACGGTACTCTAAGAACCCAAAGAGAAGAAGCTGTCTTTATATGCAGACATATGAATCCAAAGATAGGAGCTGGGGATATAGCTCAGAGGCACAAGTGCCTGCCTGCCTAAGCACAAGGTCCTGAGTTCGATTGCCAGTACCTTAAAAAAAAAAAAGACAGAAAGAAAGAAACCCAAAGATACTTGTGACTGACATTTCTCACGGACTTAGCAATGCACCGTGTTTCTGAAGTGACCGGGCCTCTTACCTGATGTCGTTTGATGATATCTTTCAATTTGTTAGCCAACTTCAGGTCAATGTCTGGAATGAGGTAGATGTTGGGTCTGGTCAGACAATTGTTCTGAGGAATGAAGAACAGGCTTTGAAATTCTACTGGTTCTTAAGCTGTGCAACATTATTTATTCCTTGCCCTGAGAGCAAAGTTGGCATTGAAACTTAATAGTTATTAAACTAGGGAGAGGCGACCTGATATAGAAAGTGAAAATAAAACAGCTACTTCAGCAGGTCATTTAAAACTGTCCTCTAAGGGGCTGGGGATTTAGCTCAGCAGCACAGCACCTGCCTGGCAAGCGCAAAGTCGTGAGTTCGATTCCTGGTACCGGAAAAAAACCAAACCCAAAAAAAAAAAAAAAACAACCCGTCCTCTGCTGCTGACTGCACCTGGGCAAAAAATGTTAAGAATCATAATCTAAAGAAATTCAGCAAGTTTTTCATTAAGGTACCAATCATACTGCCAGATTAATCCTCCTAGCCAATCATAGCTAAATTTACCTTAGGAGTCTAATGTAGTATATTCAACTACATCTTTAACTTGGGAGGAAATTATAGCTCTTTCTTCCAATTTCTAATCATAAAAATATCAATAAAACATGTTTATTAACACCTTCCTCCAAGACTGAAATTCAACCGACAAAACACATCAAATTACTTCCCAAGTTAACAGTCTATGGTCAAATGACTTTCACAAATTAATTTTTGCCTGTTACATTTCCCCAGAAGTTTACTTTAGTGATCACTATAAATTACCAGTCAATAAAATATCAGGAAAGTGGTCTAGGGATCTAGCTCAGTGGCAGAATACTTGCCACGTGCTGGGACTTGAACCCCAGTACCACCAAACAAAAAAACTAGAGACACGACAAAAGCAATTAAGCATTCTCTCATTCCAGGTTATAATTCAGTTAGCAAAGGCAGATCTACACTTATGTCACAACTATGGAACAAACAAAATGACTGCAAAGTGAAGTGACTACAGGATGAGAGGTCATTTCCACTAAGTGAAATAAAAGGGGCTCAAAGAATGGGTAGAGTAGAATAATGGTATCACGGATTATTACACCAGAAATTTAAGAATAGTCTCCAAGTGACAAGATCACTCATTAGCTGTAATCCCCCAAATACCCATAAAAATAACAAAACAACCTATTTCAGAAAATTTTTTTCCTTTGGCCTTTTGGAATTCAATGTAGGCAGTGATGGAACTGAAAGTGCATTTTAAAAAAGTGTAATAATCTAACTTTCACAGTTACCTGCACCAATGTTTTTTCAATGTTCATAAACATCTCAACATTACGATCCATTCTGGATGGATTCTGTAAATCAAATCTCCGCCTAAAAGAGAACAAAATCATTAACAAGCTTGTCTCCCACCTTAAACACAGGTAAAAATTTGATTCCAGAATTCAACGCAAATGAATATAAAGATTTGGAAGTTATAACAGCACTCTACAAAATGCATTAATGTATTCTCCTGTAAGTGTAAGAATACAGCATCAGCTGGACATGGTGGTGCACACTTGTAATCCTAGCACTCAGGAGGCTGAGGCAGGAGGATCTTTGCAAGTTCGAGACCAGCCTGGTCTACAAAGTGAGCTCAAGGCCGGTCTGAACTGCATAGTGAGACCCTGTTTCAAAAAAAAAAAAAAAAAAGAATATAGTATCAGTCAAAATGGAGTATAAATTTCACAAAGCACCTCATTTTCTTTGAAATCTTGTAACATTTTACATTCTATATAAAAGAAAAATACTGGACAAATCCAAAGGCAAAGATATTTTTAAGTAAGGTTTAATCTACTTTATATATACTTAAAAGTCTTGCTAAACCAGGCATGGTGGTGCACTCCTGCAATCCCAGCACTTGGGAGGCTGAAGCAAGAGGAGCTTAAACAGGAAAATCACTGTGAGTTCAAGGTCAAGCTGGGCTACACAGAGAATTCATACAGGCGTGTACCACCATGTCCTGCAGAGTCTGAACTGCATATGGAGACGCCGTCTCAAAAAACAAAAACAAAAACAAAAACAAAAAAGTCTTGCTAAAATTTAACTATGCGGGGCCAGGGATACAACTCAGTGGCACAAGTGCCTGCCTGGCAAGTGCAAGGTTCTGAGTTCAATTACCAGTACTAAAAAAAAAAAACAACACAAAAAAAAACAACTCTGCCTATGTGTTCTCTTTGATACAAAGGAAAACATCTTGGATACTTAATCCTAACAGTTGTAAGATATATTATTAAACAGACAAGAGAGCTGGGGCAGCTCTAGTACAGTGCTTGCCTAACATGCATGGGTCCCCTGGGTTCAACTCTCAGTACCACCAAAATAAGGGACGAAAACTAAACTAAAAAGATGAGATTTATTCAAGTAAAATTTCCAACTGGCCACAGTGATGTACTAGGGCAGAGATTATCCCTTAGTCTGTGACTATGTGCGCGTGGGGGATACCCCAAACCGTTAAGTACCAATAAAAAGTAAAGTACCTGTTACAGCTTACTGACTTATATCTAGACGTCCCCCTAAAGCCTCATATGCTCATAGGTGGGGCTTTTGGGAGGTGACTGGATCACGGTTGTGTAATACTGGATTATGGGTGCATGATTCATCCACCACTTGTTTAGCGCAGACCTGGGTGTGACTGAGGGATTTACTGAAGACAGAAGATCCACCTGAGTATGAGTGGCGCCAACCAATAAATAGGCTTGCAGCCTGGATGGGGTAAATCGAGGAAAAAGGAAGGGTTGCTGCCTCCTGCCCTCCCTGCCTGGAGTGTTTCTCTTCTGCAATCCCCTCTGCTGTGCTGCCCCCTGCCTTGGAGCCAGCAGACTGTGGGATGAAACCGCTACAAACCTTTCCTCCTTTAACTTCTGGGTGTTGTGTATTTTGTTCCAGCAATGCGAAAAGTAACCAAGCAGATACCGGTACCACAGCAAAGGGGTCGTCACTGTGACGCTGCCTGGAAATGTGGCTCAGAAGCCTTTGAAACTGGCTTGGGGGAAAGAGTTTGGAAAGTTTTGGAGATGCTGGCTGGAGAAGCAGCCCTGGAATACTGCGAGCTGAGTTTGATGGGATTTTCTGGTCAGAGCTCAGAAGAGCAGAAGGCTGATAGAAACGCAGCTGGTAAAGAGGTTTCAGCTAGGAACAAGGACTGACAGACAGCTGGGCCGCCATCATCTTTAACCCCTTTAACTGTATGTCCTCCATTTAGCATTCCTCTTCCCCCATCTAATCTCAAGGTTCTCCTCATCCGTAGGTAGCTTATAAATCCTTTCCATACTGTTCTGGTCTTTATGTCCACCTTCTTGGCAAAATTGATCTTTGAGGCCACTGCTTTCCTTAATGTGGTGAAGAATCTCTATTAATGATGACTTGCTAAAATTTTTCCCCATTATTTCTTTAAACCACCCAAGCCTAACATTCTGGGGTTGGCTTAACCTATTCTGAACCAATTCCAAATAGTTTAATGTTTACAAAGCCTTAGGTTTCATCCTCCATGTATTTTACTTAACACCTACTTGGGTTTGTCTCCATTTTAATTCTTTAAACACCAGTATCCAGGGAGAGGAACAGAGCTCAGGGAGTAAGAACAATGACTGGGGCCTCAAGTTGCTCTGGGTTCCAATTCTGACACCACCATTTCTGTAATCTTGAACAACTTACTACTCAATTATCAATTTCATGACTGTAACAGTGTACTGTGGCTTTTGTAAAGGTGAAATGAGGTACATACGGTACAGCTCTGCAGGGTGCTTCTGCCTAATACATGGTAGGTGATCAACAAACATCAGCTACAGTAATTTGAAAGTAGGAGCAGTTGCTAAGAATCTAATCCAGGGTCTCTCACATGCAAGGCAGACCCACTACCATGGAGTTATAGCCCCCGATCTCAGTTGTAGCTTTTTAAACCATTACCATGTACTTCTAGAATGAGGAGGTAGGACTCTGGAGTTTACACACTTAACTTGCATGGTAGCCTATTTTATCCTGGAGATGATGTTCTCCACATCTCAAAACGTTCTTTCTAAACTCTGTAGCTTGTCCACAAGCGAACTGGAAATTATCGCTTCCAGAGTCAGTCCCCAAGTCACTTCCTCTGTGAAGCAACTTCCACCTTCCTTCACATTCGTAACACAGCCTGTGCACACTGCTGCTACAGCCCGGTAACAGAACTATCTTGCTGGCAAGACAATGTAGGGCCAGGTGTGGTGCACCCCTGTAATCCCAGCACTAGGGAGGCAGAAGCAGGGGACTTGCTACAAGTTCAAAGCCACCCCAGGTTACACAATGAATTCAAGGTCAACTCTAAAGTGAGACACTGTCTCAAAAAAGAATAAGACAGGGTTGGGGATACAGCTCAGTGTAACAGGGCCTGCCTGGCAAGTGCAAGGTCCTGAGTTCAATTCCCAGTACCAAAAAAAAAAAAAAAAAGGAAAAAATAAAAGGTCACTTTCCATATTAGGAAAATTTTTTTAAACTTTATGTATACCGGGCTTAATTTCTCACTGCCAAGCAAAAAATGGAAACAAAACATTTTCATTCAATAATCTCTTTGAAAGCTCGGTGTGGTGGTGCACAACTGTAATCGCAGCACTCGGGAGGCTGAGGCAGAAGGATCATTGTGAGTTTGAGACCAGCTTGGGCTACAAAGAGAGCTCAAAGCCAGCCTGAACTGCACAGCGAGACCCTGTCTCAAAAAGACATAAAAAAAAAAAAAAAAAAAAACACATAGGGGGCTGGGGATTTAGCTTAGCGGCACAGCGCCTGCCTGGCAAGCGCAAGATCATGAGTTCGATTCCTGGTACAGGGGGAAAGAAAAAAAAAAACAACTCTCTCTCTCTCTCTCTATATATATATATATGTATGTATATATCTCTTTCAAGGGCATAAAATATGATCACAGCATACAGGAATCTGTTTAGAACTGTAATAATGATCAACAAATACCCAGGCATTCAGCATGCCGGCACATATACTTTTGTTTTTTTATTGAACCTGGCTGTCAGTAACCTCTCCTTCATGAACTATATGGACCTAGGAATGTCAAAACCACTGCCCGTTCACAAGCAACAAAGCAATAAACTAACCAAATTACATCATGCTAAAAAGCTGCACAGCAAAGGAACAATAACACAGTGAAGAGACAACCTATAGGATAGGAGAAAATATTTGCAAACAGTTCATCAGGTAAGCAATTAATATGCAGGTAAGCAATTAATATGCAAACTCTTGCCACCTGTTACCACATGCCTGAAATCTCAGCACTGGAGGCTGAGACAGGAGAACTGCCATGAATTCAAGGCCAGCCGGGGCTACACAGCAAGACCCTGTCAAACAACAACAACAACAAAAAAAACCCAGAATCTATTAACAGTAAATGAATACAGCGCTGATTTCAAAGCAGGTAAAATTCATCAGGAATGTAGCATGATGGCAGAGCAACTGCTTAGGATGCACCAAGTCCTAAGTTCAGACCCTAGCACCACCTCCAGACCAAAGCCAGGCAGTCTGTCTTTTTAATATATCGGCCTGGCTGGGTGAGGAGATGCCTCATCATAGTTCTGACTTGCATTTCTCCGATACTCCACGCTGTGGAGTGTTTTTCATATAGCTACTGGCCATGTGCATGCAAGTCTTTCACCCATTCTTTAAATAGGTGCGGTGCTGCACACCAATAATCCCAGCAGTCTGGGAGGCTGAGGCAGGAGGACAGCAGAAGTTTGAAGCCAGGTGGGCAACTTAAAAGAGACCCTGTCTCAAAAAATCATAAATGAGGCAAGAGGATAGTTGCAAGTTCAAGGCCAACCTGAGCTACACAGTGAGTACAAGGCCAGCCTTAACTGCACGATGAGACCTTGTCTCCTAAAAAAAAAGAGGAAGAAATTAAAACACAAGTCATAGAAAGTCCTCAGGAAAAAAAAAAAAAAAGAAAGCACTAGGGATGTGGCTCATTGAGAAGGTACTTGGTTCAGTCTCCGATATGACCACCAAAGAAAAGTATGTATGAAACATATAAACGAAGGCCGAGCTCATCAATGGCTATATACTCAGAGGAAATGAACTCAGCGTATCAGACACCTGCACTGTCATGTTTACTCCAACCTTTCTCTTCAGTCACAGCACTGAGGATGGAACGCACTGGGTCTTGTGCATGCTGGGCGAGTGTGACTAGAGCACTGCAGCAAGTCCGAACTCAAACCTTAAATATACCTAGTGACAGATAAACAGATAAAGTAAACGTGTCCCATACACAAAATGGGATACTATTTACTTGGTCATTAAGAACAAAATCCTGTCATTTGTCACAAGAATGAGCCTAGAGGATGTCACATTAAGTAAAATAAGTTAGGCACCAAAGGAAAACCACTTCTTGCTGTGTCCAGCTCTGGGTCCACCTCCAGCACCAAAAACAAACAAGAAAGCCCCAAAACTTTATCAAAAAGAAATAATAAACCAGGTGTGGTGGCGCATGCCTGTAATCCCAGCACTCGGGAGGGTGAGGCAGGAGGATCGTTGCCAGTTCAAGACCAGCCTGGGCTACAAAGTGAGCTCAAGGCCAGCCTGAATTGCATAGCGAGACCCTGCCTCAAAAAGACAAAAAAAAAGTAGACATAATAGTGTTTGACATTTTTCTTCCATGTAAAACAAAGTACATCAGGGCTCTTAATATAACACGACTTACCTTGTACTCAGTCCCACTACGCTTACAGAATTCTCCAACACCAAACAAAACAATGTGATTTAACATTAAAACACTTACATATCACAAACTTACCACCCCTGTTCGTTTTTATACTTGTAAGCAGCCCCAAGAATGTGACACAAGGTGCCTCCAGCTTTGAAGTCCATGAAACACTTTGCCTGAAAATGACACAAAGCACACGTGAGGAAAAAAAGATTGACAAAATGATGCATCTAAATTCTAAATTTTAAAAATCAAAGATATAAGTAAGAGCTAACTTAATAACCTCTTTAAAATCTTTTTCCTCAGTACTGGGGATTGAGCCAGGGCCTTCCATCTTAGCTCCATCCCCAGACCCTTTTTTTTTTTGAGATAACGTCTCGCCCTCTTACTAAAGTGCCCAGATTGATCTTGAATTTCCAACCTTCCTGCTTTAGCCTCCCGGAGTTCTTGGTTTACAGACATGTTCCACCACATGCAGCTTTTAAGAGATATGAAGAAATGTTTCTAAAAATTTGTAAGAATGTTTCCTTTTAAACTGCACTGACATTATTTTTGAATAAACAATCTTAAAAAGCATCAGTTAAAAAATACACATGTTGTTGGGCCCAGAAGTCCATGTGTGGAATCCCAGCTACTAAGAAAGGAGACAGGAATTAAGACAGGATTCAAGTTTGAAGCCAGTATGAGCAACTCAGCAAGACTGCCTCAAAATTTTAAAAACACATGGTGATATAATCTCTGCACTTGGGAGGCTGAGGCAGAGAACTGCTGCAAGTTCAAGAGAAGCCTGGGCTACAAAGAGAGATGCTGTCTCAAAAAATCAAAAATTAAAAAAAAAAAATTTTAAGGATGGGAAAGTACAGTACCTCATTGGTACACAGCTTGCCTAACATGCACCAGAAAGAAAAAAAAAACTGTTTCAAAAGGAAACACTAACTGGGCATGGGGCATATGCCTGTACTCCCAGCACGCAGGAGGCTGAGGCAGGAAGATCACAGTGACTTTGAGGACAGCTTGAACTACATAGTGAGTTCAAAGCTAGCCTGAACTAAACAACAAGACCCTATTTTAACAAAAAAAGCAACACGATTGGACAAAACAGTGAAACCCTTTAAATACAAAATTTCAGAAAAAAAAATTTCAGTTATACACAATTTCTAACATTGGTTTTCCCTTGGAATAAAAAAAATATTAGTACACCAGTAGATTTTATGGTTTTGGCTTTTTTTAAATCTTTTTGAGACAGGGTCTCGCTATGCAGTTCAGCCTTGAGCTCACTTTGTAGCCCAGGCTGGTCTCAAACTGGCAACGACCCTCCTGCCTCAGCCTCCTCAGTGCTGGGATTATAGGCGTGTGCCACCATGCCCAGCTGATTTTTATGTTTTTGAGACACGCTTTTACCATGTACCCTAGGTTGTCCTTAAATTCACAATTCTCCTGTCTCAGCCTCCCAAGAGCTGGGATTATAGGCATATGCCACCATACCTGGCAATTTTTCTTCCTTCAGATACCTTACTTCAGATTATAGAAAGATTGTAACTGAGCTTAGTTAGTAATTTTAATGATCACTAAAACCAGAACTTTAATGTTATTAATAGCCTGCCATGTACTTTTTCTTTAAAATTTACAGTACAATAGATGGAAAAGAATGACATGGTACAAACATTAAGAGACAACAAGCAGTTGCCAGGGGCTGGGGAAGGGGGCTGGGGATTTAGCTCAGCGGCAAAGCTGAGCATCTTGGCACACACTGTAACCCCAACTACTCAGGAGCCTGAGGCAAGAGGATGCAAGTCCAGGGATAGGCTGGGTTAACAGCAAGATTCTGTCCCAGAAATATAGTAAGAAAGAACACAGCATGGTGGCACATTCCTATATAACCTCAGCACAATGGGAGGCTGAGGCATGAGAGTTCCAAATTTGGAAGTGGGAGTTCAGGACCAACCTCTGCTACACAGTAAGACTCCCATCTCAAACAAACGAAAGAACAAACAGGGGACAGGCATTTTTTTAAAGAACTGAATTCTCCAGCTAGAATGCGGACACACATCTATAATTCCAGCATCTGAGGGGCTAAGACAGGAGGATCACCTCCAGTTCAAGGCTAGCCAGCCAGCCTAGTGAGTTTAAGACCGTTCTACACGGTGGCACACTCCTGTAATCCCAGCACTTAGGAGACTTGAGGCAGGAAGATCGTTGCAAGTTTAAGACCAGCCTGGGCTACAAAGTGAGCTCAAGGCCAGCCTTTGAATTGCACAGCAAGACCCTGTGTCAGAAAGACCAAAAAAAAAAAAAAAAACCTGCACTCTCCATAAATGAAAAGATTCTTCGTGCCTACAAGGAAAGAGATTTGGGATTAGAGATGGTCCTTAGAACCAGCTCCGAACCCACTAGATAAAAGGTGAAAGTCATAGTCAGGGAGTGGACACCCACAGGCACTCACTGTATCCCCTGCATCCCCAAGGACCCATTCTATGCACCTCAGGCTGCGACTGCTCACGACACCCACGAGCACTCACTGTATCCCCGGGACCTATTCTATGTACCCCAGGTTGCAACTGGCAGAGGCCTCGCCCTCACTGGGTGCTACATTCTTCTGAGAAATAATGGGAAACCTAAGAACAGGTAGCAAAATTGGGGCTTTCCAGAGCCATGGTGCTGAGTGTGGCAGATGTGCCCTAGTTAGAGTGCAGGAGTCAGGGCAGCTCCAGCTCCAGCCGGCTGTTCCCGCAGCTGTGTGAGCTCACCACTCTGAATAGCTGGCTGTGTATTTATACTTGGCTGTTAAACTGGAAGCTTAATCCTGTCCTCCTGGGTGTGTGTCAGTGGTCTCTTCCTACTTATGTAATCCATCTAAGCTTCTGCTCAGCTGAACGAACCGCAGAGAAATCAGCGGTAATACTTAACACACTTTCAGTTGTGCTGCGGTGTCCTTATCTCTACTCCTTTTGAAACCAAGAGAAACTCTGAATAAAGCCTCTGGCCTCCATTTCTTTCAGCGACTTACCTTCCTCACCAAGTTTACAGATCAAGTAGCTATTGGCTTTGTTACAGGTGACAACTCTGACACAAAAGTCACCACTGCCAACAGCTGCCTAAGGTACTGTTCAGGACCTCGGGAGTCCACTCTGTCAAGTGATGTCGGAGGGCAGAGGACCCCACCTCAGACCGTGAACTCTGAGTGATCTGCATCTTCAGTTGCCTTTGAATCTGTGATTCAGCCTTCGGAATAGCAAGGATTTAGTGCCTGGACCCTTTTTTCTGTTTTGTTTTTAATTTGGTAATATCTTTCACATTAGTATAAGGAATTTTTGTCATGTATTCTGCACACTGGTGATTTGTCAGAAATACTTATAAATATCTTCTCTTGTGTGACAGTTTATATTTTCAGACCCATAAAGATGGTTTTTAGAATAGAGGTATACTTTTGTTTTTTCTTTTTCTTTTTTTTTTTTTGAGACAGGTTCTCGCGGTGTAGTCCAGGGTGGTCTTGAACTCACTGTGGAGCCCAGGCTAGCCTCACACTCTTGGCCATCCTCCTGCCTCAGCCTCCTGAGTGCTGGGATTACAAGCCTTTGCCTCCACATCTGGCCTGGAACAGAGGTTTTTTTAACATAGAGCAGAGATGTTTTGTATACAAGGCAAGCTAGTCAATATTTTGTGACTTTGCATGACCTTTCTTGGTTTCTTGGACGTACTCATTCTCCACGCTTTTGTTTACCTCTTCATATCCATTTTGTAGCACAGTCATTTATGGACCCTACCAACAGACATGCTCCTCCTCGCCAGTTATTAGCACTTGCTGTGTCTTTATGAAGTCAGACTTCACAACATAAGGCCTGTTTTGCTTGCTAGTAATGTGCTAGTCATTGGAAAGATGAATTTGCCAAGTTTACTCATAATGCTGTTATAGGTGAGGAGGTAGGAGTCTGGGGTCACGCCTGCCTCCCTACTAACAGGATTTGAGATACCATGGGTAAAGGCGCGGTGGCATGAGGCAAGGGAAGGGGCAGGGGCGGTGGCCTGTGTGTATGTAATCAACTTTGTGGCTCTTCACGGTACAAACGAGCACACAAGTCTTAATGTACCCGCCTTCCATTTACACTTTTACATTTTCCAAGAAAACTTCTCAACCAACAAGGACAAGCCAGTAATCTATTTTCAGCTCTAAGTTCTGTAAACTACTTAGCTAGTATCAATTCTTCCACCCTAACTTCAATGAGCTTCACTGTCATACACTGTGATTCTCACAGCTTCCCCATGGGATTAGTAAAGCAAAGAACATTTTCCAGGAAATAGAGGCACAAGGCAAGAGCCTTCCCACAAGGTTAGAGAATGCGCGGTCACGGCTATTTAGTTCCCAGCCCAGGGTGAGGGCTGGCTAATGCTACTGAAGTGGACCAGCAGCCAGAAAATACAGATAGCACAGAAAACTAAAGGTCATGGGGTTCAGTGTCAACTAAAGTATTTGGATTTGATAATCACAAGTCTTACAATACTGGGGTTTGAAGCAGGCATGGTGGTGCATCGCTGTAATGCCACCACTTGGGAACCTGAAGCAGGAAAACTGACAGCAGTCTAAAACCAGTCTGGACTACACAGTGTGTTCCAGAACAGCCTGAACTAAATAGTGAGACCTTACTTCAAAAAATCGAAACTAATAAACAAACTATAAAAAGCTTGTAACAGGGATGCGGATGCGACTCAGTAGCATAGCCCTTGCCAAGTGTGTGCGACCCTGGGTACCACATCCACCACAGGAAAAAAAAAAATTGTAACTGGATTATCTAAAAAAGTTTCAAATATTCAATAGAGGCTGAACGGCTGAGCACTTGCCTAACACACACAAGTGTCCTGGGTTCCATCCCCAGCACCCCCCAAACAAAACAAGTATCAATAAAAGACAAACAGAAAATTCTTTAGTACAGAAAATAATTACCACAGCAGGCCTGACAGGACTCTCTTCACTAAGGCCTAATTTCAAAGCTGGCACTTAGAAAATCTCACACAAATTGTTGCTAGCCAATTAACTGTGTTTTTCTGTTGTTCTGAGACACAGTCTCACTCTATAACCCCCCACACCCTGTACCAGGAATTGAACTCACAACCTTGAGCTTGCCAGGCAGGCGCTGTGCCGCTGAGCTAAATCCCCATCCCCTTCTCACGCTATAATTCAGGCTGGCCTGGAACTCCCAGCAATCCTCCTGTCTCAGCCTCCCAAGGGCTGGGATCACAGATGTGCGCCCCATGCCAGCAGGCCAGTTAACGATACAAAAGATGAGTGCACAGACTGGGGAGACGATAAGCTTTACAAGAAACACCCACTGATTCCTGAGTCTGGGACATGGTGCGTGCTGGACAGAAGGTTCCTGTCACCAGCCCCCAGTAACAACCTCAGACCTTAGACTCCACTTCCACTTCCCACGTGCACTGCACCTCCTCAGGGCTACAAGACCCAGCCTGCCTGGGCAAGCACACAAGGAAGCTCCCAGGGATGCTTCCTACCCTGTGGTAACAAACCCCGGAGACGAGCACACCTGCAAGTACAGCTCCATCAAGTCTCCAAATGAAGGGTAGTCTCACAGACCAAATAACTTTTCTGAAAAAGCACTCACAGAAGATACACAAACATTCAACATCATTAGTCCCTGAGAAAATGCAAATTAAAACTACAAGGAGATCCCACCAGAACGGCTCAGACTATAAGGATTAACCCTACACAGCACTGACAAGGACATGGAGGCAGTGGAACTCTCACACTGATAAACACAATGTAAAATGATGCACCCAGGCCAGAAAATGACACACCCAATTTTGTAAAGTATTCTGCACCCAAGTTATTTACCCAGGAGAAGGAAAACCAGCATACACATTAACGGTAACAGCAGCTGCTTTACTCTGTAAGCTGGCAACAGGGCTGAGGGTGTAACTCAGTGGAAGCGCCTGCCTAGCGTGCACGAGAGGCCTTGGGTTCAACCCCTAGCACCAGAAATTAAAAACTGAAAACAAGAGAAAGAAAACTGAAGTAACTCAGATTTGTAGCTCCACAACAGACCACTTGTTTCAAGACAGGGTCTCGTTAGTAGCTTAGCCTGGCCTTTACCTAGATGAAGGCTAGCCTCAAACAGCTATCCTGCCTGCCTGGGTGAGCACGACAGGAAGCCCCGGTGGATGCCTCAGCCTCCCCCAGCCATCATTTTTATTTGAAGGGTTAAAAAATATTTTTAGTATTAGATCCTTTTTCCTTTCCAAGTCCAACTTCTCAATTATCATCTTATAGAGCACACACTGTGAGCCAAGTGTAACTTGGGATTCCGCATGTAAAGTCCCACTTTGTTAAAAAAAAAAAAAAACTATCTCATACTATCACTGCTTATTCAGGAAAAAAAAGTTCAAGCAAAGACTTTCTATGTTTCACTCAAACATTCTTAGCTTTGTTAACTATCTCATCCATTTTACCACTACGACACATCACATCAATCCCTTCCACTTGGAAAACGATGAACACTACTTTGAGGAAAGAGAAGTACATCTGGTCTCACTGGCATTAAACCATGAATTATTTTTAATTATGGCTTCTGCCTAAAAATACTCTTCCCTAAGCTTTAAAATCTGGAAGTAAATAATGGCTTAGTGCCCAGGAATGAAATACAACACAAATAAAGCCCTGTTAGTCAAGCAGGCATGGTGGCCCACACAGGGAGGAAGAGGCAGAAGGATCTGAGTTCAAGGCCAGCTTAGACTACACTATGAGACCCTCTCTCACAACAAAATCCTCTGTGGTAAGTACCCCTTGGAAGACATGCATATTCTTAATTCAGAATACCAAAATAATTGATTCATATACAGTATATGTTATGTGTAAATTTTATTCTACATTATGTTATACTTGATAGTGGCTCAATCAATATATTACAGCACTGCAAGCAATTAAAACCTTCAGCCAGTTCCTAATATAATCTAATCCAGTCCATAATGTAAAAGAACAAGAAATTGAGAAAAAGAAATTTGGAGCTTTCAGATGACTCAGGAAATAATAACTATAAGCACACACAGAAAAGAGAAGGATCAAGCAAATGGATAAAATGTTAAGTGATTAGGAATTCTGAGGGAAGCAAAAAACGCCTATCAATATTTTCAACAAAAGCAGAGAACATGGGCCTCACATTTGCAAGGCCCTGGGTTTGATACTCAACACTGCAAAAACAGAGGAAAAAGTTAACAGTATGATAGGTTAAGTCCCACAGTGATTACTGCAGCAATACATCTTCAGTGACTCCTCAAAAGCAGCTTCCTGCTATTAAAAAGGAGTAAAATTCTGTTGCTGAAATTCCATAGCGAATCCACCATTTTCTTTTCCTAATTCCACAGGCTGTCAGTGGCAAAGAGTACAGAAAGGGAGATGCAACAAGTAAAAAGTGAAATTTACTTACAGGTAGTTTGGTGAAGGCTGGGTTGGTGACATGCTTCCCAAAGGCATCTTCCTGGAATTGAAGAAGTTGTACCACCAGTCCAGCCAGCGTTTTATTGGTAGGAGCATCGGCATGAACATACTGCAAGACAAAGACAGGGACTCAACAACTGGTGTGACTGCTGCAGGAGAAAGTGGTTACTGTCTAGTGCCTCGGCACAGGCATTGTGGCAAGTTTACAATGTCTGAGACATGCTCTTTGCTGTAAAGGAAGTTAAAAAAAAACAAGGATATGTATACACACAAAAATAATTACGATGAGCCGGGGGAAGATTGAGGCACACCTGTAATCCCAATACTCTCGATGACAGGAGGACTGCAAATTCACACCTAGGCTGAGCAACTCACAACTTAGTGAGACTTTTTCAAAATACAAAATAGGGGCTGGGGATTTAGCTCAGAGGCACAGCACCTGCCTGGCAAGCACAAGGTCGTGAGTTCGATTCCTGACATTGGAAGAAAACAAAAACAAACAAAACACAAAATAAAAAAAGCATGAGAGTATAGTTCAGTTCAAAGACACCAGGTTTAATCCCCAGTCTCCCAAACTAATCACAGTAATGATGATAATAACGACGACGAAATGTGGACCATTTGTACTTGTCCATGCCTATAATCCATGCTATTTCAAAGTCTGAAGAAGAAGCACTGAGACAGCCCAGGCAACATAGCAAGTCCCTTCCTCAAAAAAAGGAAGGAAGGAACAAAGGAACAACCTATGATCAAAAATTGTAGTCAGGACTGGGGATATAGCTCAGTGGCATAAGCGCTTGCCTGGCAAGCCTGAGGTCATGAGTTTGATTCCCGGTACCAAAAAAAAACAAAAACAAAACTTGTAGTCAATATTTAAATTAAAACAATATAGGGGCCAGAGACTTAGCTCAGTGGTGTAGTACCTGCCTGGCAAGTGTGAGGTCCTGAATTCAATTCCTGGGACCCAGAAAAAAAAAAAAAAAAAAAGACAGGCTAGGGAGACAGCTCAGTGGCACAGCACCTGCCTGGCAAACTCAAGGTCCTGAGTTCTATTGCCAGTTAAAAAGAAAAAAGAGCTTGGGGCGGGTGGTGGCGCACACCTCTAATCCCAGCACTTGGGAGCCTGAGGCAGGAGGATTGTTGCGAGTTCAAGGCTAGCCTGGGCTACAAAGTGAGCTCAAGGCCAGCCTGAACTGCATACTGAGACCCTTCCTCAAAAAGAAAAGAATACCGTAAAAGATGCATTATCAGTAATCCCGTCAAAATACTGCCCCTCACTTATCCCATCCTTCTTGGCACTTTCTGAAGCAGCTCTCCAAGTCCTCTTTCTGAATGTCTTTAGTTGCACTGTCCTGGTTGCCTCAACATCCTGAATCAATTCAAAATGTTTCCACTTTGGCAGCCATGGTGGTGCACCCTTGTAATAACAGCACTAAAGAGGCTAAGGTGGTGAGAGAGGCCGGCCTGGGCCAGCCTGAACTACACAGTGAAACCCTCTTTCAAAAAAAAAAAAAAAAAGAGGGGACAGCTGGGGATTTAGCTCAGTGGCACAGCGCCTGCCCAGCAAGTGCAAAGTCATGAGTTTGATTCCTGGTACCAGAAGGAAAAAAAAAATAGAAGCCAGAAGTCATGCAGTACCAAGTGCAGTGAGTTAGGTGAATAAGGGACACACTCTAACATTTTTACAAGCCTGCCTTTTCATTGGATGGCATCAGCAGCAGCAGTATTTGTATTTTTATCACAACCTGTAAAGGTACTCCTGAGAGAAGACTTCCACAGCTGCTGCAGAAAGCAGCAAATGGGCAGAGGGGTGTAGCTCAGTGGTAGAGTGCTTGCCTACCATGCACAAGCCCCCAAATTCAATCCCCAGTACCACCGAAAGAAAGAAATCAAGCAGCAAAAGCCAGGCAGGCATGGTGGCAGACATCTGAGCTACACAGCAAGACCTTGTCTCAAAAAGTTAAAAACAAACAAACAAACTAGCATGAAAAATGGACTGGTTATGTTCAAATGTGGGGACAAGGGGTGAGACCCCCAGCAGTGTGTCTTTTACTGTAACAATTTCCATGACTGAATGGCAAACCAAGGCTGAGGATGGAGCCCCATGGTAGAGTGAAGTGACTGGAGTACGGCCAGAGCCATTAGATGCAGGATCCACAACAGCAACACACTGACTTGACAGTGTAATGTGCAAGGGCAATCATTTTTAGTCTGTGGTTTGTTTTTGGTACTGGGAATCGAACTCAGGACCTTGTGTTTGCCAGGCAGGTCCTCATGCCCTGAGCCGTATTCCCAACCCTAAGGGCAATCATTTTTAACAAGGAGCATGCCCTACAATTTGTATTTGTTTAGATACACAAGCTAGCCGGGGATATAGCTCAGTGGCACAAGCACCTGCCTGCCAAGCACAAGGTCCTGAGTTAGATCCCAGGTACCAAAAAATTTAAAAAAAAAAAAAAAAAAATAGATACACAAGCTTTCTACTATAACTGAAACAGCCAGCATCCAAGTGAATAGCTGCAAACTGGTGTTTTCTTGAATTTTTTTTTTTTTTTTGGTTTTTCTCCGGTACAGGGAACCGAACTCACAACCTTGCGCTTGCCAGGCAGGCACTTTTGCCGCTGAGCTAAATCCCCAGCCCGAATTATTTTATTTTACACTGTAGGTCAGCGGAATCTATCCAGGAGCCTGATTCTGTGTGACCCACAATCTAAGTATAGTTTCTACATTTTTAAATTTTGGGGGGGAAAATTAGCCTTTTGTGACACATGAAAATTATAAAATTCAAATTTAGGGGCTGGGGATTTAGCTCAGCGGCAAAAGCGCCTGCCTGGCAAGCGCAAGGTCGTGAGTTCGGTTCCCGGTACCGGAGAAAAACCAAAAAAAAAAAAAAAAAAATTCAAATTTAAGGGCTAGGGGTCAGTTGCAGAGAACACTTGCCCAGCAGGCACAAGGCCCTAAATTGAAGCCTCCACCCCTTGAAGAAAATCAAAATATAAATCTTTTTCCCTTGGTTGAGACAGTCTTGCTATATATAATTCAGGCTGTCCCCAAACTCACTATGTACCCCCGACTGGCCTTGAACACACAGCAATCTTTCTACCTCAGGCTCCTGAGTGCTAGGAGTGCTGGGACTACAGGCATACACCATAACGCCTGGCACAAATTTAAGTTTCACTGAAACACCACATTCATTTACATATATTCTAATGCTACTTTCACAAAACCACAGAGCTGCACATTTCAAATCAGACTGCAAGGCTCTGAAAGACTGAAATACTCATCTGTCCCTTTTAAACTACCTGCCCTATTCTGGACCTCCTTTACATCCCTTTAAAGGGTCCCTATGTGAAGGATGCTCTGTAAACTTATTTCTATACGGCCACAACCTGACAAGTGTCAGTCAACTTTTCTCATTAATGAGACAAAATAACCAACACTCAAAGTTAAAGGTTTAGGTCGGTTTTGGCTCAGTCTGTAGAATTTTCAGCTCATAGTTGGCTGGCAGAAGACAGAAGGCACCAAGCTACAGCAACTACAACAGCTTCTCTCTGTCCCTTTTATAGTCTATCTAGGTTACCCGCCTTCTGCTTTTAGGGCCGGTAGCACTCACACCCAGAACTATGCCAAACCAAGCAATGGACTGATTTAGTAATCACACACCTTTAGCATCACACACTCTAGATCCAGCCATCTCTGAAAAAGCCCCACCTATGACCACATGAGGCTTTGGTGGCACAGCTAGACACAAGCTATGATACATTTATGGCAAGTAGGAATCGAACAGTGGAGACAAGTTTCATACAATTAAGCATAGAAAAAAATGACAATTCTCTCATAGGTGTGTCCAACCTGTGGCCTACCCTTTTGGGACCACTTTTTAATGTTATAATAAAAAATACTTAATAAAATTTTGCTACTTACATACTGTGTATATATGTGTATATTTTAAATATTCATATGTGTTACTAGGGATGGAAGCCAGGACCTCAGTGCAAAGGTTGTAATTCAACAGGTCTCTAATTCATTAAGTCAGGCCCAAAACCTTTACATTTCAAACAAGGCCCAGGCAACACTACTGTTCTGGGACCTACACTTTTAAAAACACTGGACTAGCTAACCAGGCATAGTGGCAAATGCTTGTAGTACTAGAACTCTGGGAAAGTACGGCAGGAGGATCTCAAGTTCGAGCTCAACCTGGGCAACTTAGCAAGACTCAACCTCAAAATAAAATATAAAAAGGACCAGGGATGTTAGCTCAGTGCAAGGGCTTGGGTTCACTCCCCAGTACCGAGCCAGGCATGGCTGACACACGAAAATCAGAGTTCAAAGCCAGCCTAGCCACACAGTGAGCTGTGAGTTCAAGGCCAGCAAAAGACAAAAAACAGTACAGCAAAATACAAGCCAGGCAAGGTGGCACATGCTTGTATTCCCAACACCCAGGAGGCTGAGGGAGGCGGATCACTCTGAGTTCATGGCCATCTTGAACTGAATAGTGAAACTTAAAAAAAAAAAAAAAAAAGACAAAATACAAACAAAAATGCTTATAAAAAATTGTATTATAATTTACAAGTTAAAAGCTGGTACATGTGTAAAATCCCTGGGTTGAACACCCAGCACACACACCAAAACATTACAAAAAACAGTTCAGCAATTTTTTAAACGTTAAGAAGTACTTATGCCGGGCATGGTGGTGCATGCC